AAAAACACAATAAAAGTTACTCTCCCTGCTTCTTAGAATAGAGAAGCTTTTATCTTTCTGCCTACTAGATTCTTCCTATTCGTTCTGCTATTGATTGAAACTCCTTCAATCAACTCAGAATTATACTAAATCTTAAGTATAACCATATTTACTAAACTTTAGTAAATCATGACAAATATATTTGTCACTCTTGTGGTAGACTTGATCAACGTACGACCCAGTGTACTCGATCTCCTAGTCCTTGAATTTGACACTTTGTCAACGAATTAGCCTAAATTTCCCAAATGTGAAAGTTTTTTCATTCATCATACACTACACGTTGCATGATTCCAAGTTTCTATCCACTTGAAACGTGGGCGCTGAGAAACTCTCCCTATTTAGTAAACTCTTAACACTTCCACAAATAACCCAATTAAGAATCAAATCCATTTTGCTAATAATAGAAATACACAAACATTAATTTTCATACACACCATTATTAAGGATAAATAAATAAGATAAAACTCAACATTTATTTTATTGCGGAAAAAAATGTCCTTACAACGCAATTCAACTGAAAAACTATGCTATTACATATTTCTTAGCAATCTACCCTAACTCTAAAGTAGCAGCTCAAACATCCGATCTTTGAATCCATGTGATCGAAATCCATTTCTTCGTGATCAGATTCAACATGCTTCTTCCTTAAGCTTCCTTTCTTTTCTTCGATCCTGCAAAACATCAAAATGTAATCTTATCACATCATGTATTAAGAACCAAAAAATAGGAGCTTATAGAGTTAGTTAATGGATTTTACCTGAAGTAGATCCATACGTCTTGACTCTCCCATCTCTTAGATCTCTCAGGTAAACAGGGCAACTTTGTCTACAATGCCCCTTCTCTTGGCAATAAAAGCAAATAGACTCCTTTGGCACATTACATGGGATAATCTCATGCTCAGTCCTTTCTGGACTTCCAATGTTTCCAGTGTCTATTGAATCTTGGGAGTTTGACTCACCAGACAAATTTGCTTGACCAGCACGCCAAATCATTGCTGATTCAGCAGCTATAAGCAAACAAGTGAGATCAATTAGGGTCACGTCGTGTTCCATCATATAGTACTCTCTTACGAACTCACTATATGATTTAGGAAGTGACTGAAGAACCCAATCAATAGCCAACTCACTTGAAATCTCGACACCCAACATCCTTAACCTATCAATGTGTGACTTTATCTCTAAGACGTGTGTACACACAGGTTTCCCATCTTCGTGTTTACTTGTCAAAAGGGCTTAAGTGAGCTTGAACTTTTCAAGCCTTTGAACTTGTGGGTCAGGGAGAAAAATTGGAGGAGGTGGAGGAAGTGAAGTATGACTCTCATTTCCTTGATCGTATATTGGAACGTCATCTTCATTTGGAAAGCTTGATCCTTTGAAAGCTTGTTCCAAAGGATTTGGGAAGACCATTGTAAGATTCAGACATCTACAAAACGAGAGAAAATTCAAGTCAGTTGATAAGAATCCTTGATGTAACATCCAAAATGAAACATCAAAGCTAGGATCCAACACAATATTCTACAACCAATAAGAGGGATGCCGTAATCTAGTTGCAAAATATTTGAAGGTAGGTAAATGATGATTTACCAATTTCCACCATGAAAAACGAAAATGAACTTTAAGTTTTAAATGAATTGAAACTCCTAGATCTTTTGAGATTCATTGAACTTTTCAATGGCATGTTTAATCTCGATTATGCCCTTCAAATTTGCGGTTGGGATGCCGAGGATCACAAACAAGGTGTGAATAACCATACGAATCTACGTGGTGCAGTCAATGCTACTATCACCTAATCAATGTGCCGGTTAGCCACACACGCTCCATTGATCTATAACAAACATCGAGCCACCCTTTGCCACCAATGCCAAACCCAAATTAGTGTGCCGGTTAACCACACACGCTCCACTAACGTCTCGGCAAGGGTACAAAGTGTAATTCCATGAATTAGCATACAATTTCACATTTTGCCTAAAGTAACTATGATTTGGGAATTTGAAAAAGCATATGGTTACTTTGGACTTCATTATACTTATAATGGAAAGTTTTGTCCTATCCTACCTGTTCGGCTAACAACCCTCCACTAGTCAAAAGTGCGGTGGGTAAGAGTGGATACCCATTCAATCGCCATTTTATAGACAATTTCCTTAAACACCCCTTATAGATCAGCTTCGTGAATGAGGCCTATTAACGGTAAGACTGATTGTTTAATTAATTAATTAAACACCCCTTATATATATATATATATATATATATATATATAATATTAGACTTTTAATGTTATATATAGTATAGGGTGTATTTTACACTTTTTAAAATACTAGGTGGTTTAATTTAGTAAATTATACTTTTAATTTAATTAAATGTAAACCAAAACTTTATGGGTTTATTAAATCTTTTTTAATTATACACTTTAATTAATTAATTAAACCATAAGGGTGTGATTTGAACTTTTCAAATTACTAGGGTTTTAGAATTTTAAAATTTCAAATTAAGACTTTTAATTTGAAATTTTAAAATCCAAAACTTGAGGTCAAGTTTTGAAAAAATTTCAAACTTAGGGTTTAGAATTTAAATATTTCAAAATTAACTTTTTAATCAAAAATTTAAATTTCCAAAACTTGAGGACAAGTTTTGAAAGTTTTTCAAAACATTAGGGTTTAACTTATTTAAATTTCAAAACAAAACTTTTAAGTTCAAATTTAAACTATAAAACCTAAAGGGGGAAATTGAAACTTTTTCACAAGATAATTAAAATCTAAATTACAAATAATCAATATTGATATAATAAAACAAAAGATTATCTAAAATTTGACAATTATCTTCTATTTTGATTTGATAAAATCCAGATTTTATTAATAAAAAACGTTTTAGGAAATTATCCACATCAAAATAGGCAAGAAAATCGCGAAAATAAGCTGTCAGACCCGCTGACTCGTCGAGTCCACTATGGACTCGGCGAGTCACCTAGTTGACTCGGCGAGTCCAGTCGAAAACCCCCCAAAAAATACGTTTTTTAGTCAATTTTTGATCAAATAAGCATCAAATTCACTAACAAATAGCCATAGGCTCTGATACCATTGTTGGGTTTTGAGCAATACATCAATCCTATGGTGTACATGCAAACCATAATAGCTTTGGATCTAGTTTGTCTAATGAACATACAATTGATTATCCAACGCCATAAACCCTAGATCTAATAAATTATAACTGAAATTAGGGTTTTACCTTTGATTGGTATATAGTAATAACAATCAATCCTTGGCTTCAGAAAGCTTAGTGCCTCAAGTGTTGCACCTCTAATGGAGTCACAAACACCACTAAGCAACTTGGATAAAAAGGGAATAGAAGGGAGGCACCAAAAACGGCTGGAAACCCTAACAGGAAGTGTTAGCCACGTTTTTGGTGCCTAAGGGCTCCTTATATTCTTAGGCTATTAGGGCTATCAAGTTAGGAAACCCTAATTTGACTGCTTAAGCCCTAAGCAGCCCATGGACTCCTTCTTTAGAAGCCTTGGATGATTTCTAATGGGTTTCCCCATAAAATTCGTCCACTCCACCTTCTATGGAGTCCATAGGCCCATCTTTGTAATTATCTTATAATTACACAATAAGTCCCTTAAGTTTAATTAATCTCTTTTAGCCACAAAATTAATGCTTAATTAATTCTTGACTAATATTAATTAAACAATATGATTTCTCCTTTAATATATTATTTTTATAATATAGTAATAAATAATAATTAAAACTTTCTCTCCTTAATTCATCCTACATAGTGCTATGGTGAAGGCAACCCAAAATGACCATGCTCATAATCGGGTAAAGTACATACCAAAATAGTTATGGACTTAGACACTAATCCAACCTTATCGGGATGGGAGGGCTCATGTGCTGACGGTATAGGTGTTTCGAGATGCCCTACTTAGGCCACATGGATTGAAGGTTCCAAGGTCGGGTATATGTTAACAGTATATTGTATATGTATTAGTTATTAGGTATACTAACTATTGTGCATATTTAGGTTATTATTTGGGAGATGATGGTTATACAAATGGAGAAGGGTTTTTTAGCCCCATATAGAAGTCAAAGATATCATTTGAATGATTGGCGTACCGGAAACCAAACAACTAAACCTAAAGAATTGTTCAACATGAGACATTCATCTGCAAGAAATGTCATAGAAAGATGTTTTGGTATTTTGAAGGCAAAATGGAAAATTTTAAAAGACAATTCATATTATCCTATTGATCTAAAAAATAAGTTCATAATGGCGTGTTGCCTTCTTCATAATTATATCAGACAAGAAATGTCAATTGACCCATTTGAGAATCTCTTTGAACTAGATGAGGGGATCAGAGATGTCGGCGGCGAAGATAATGATAATATCACGTATGTTGGTGTATCAATGGAGTGGAATACATTTCGAAACAATCTAGCACAAACTATGTTTGATTCTTGGAATGCTACACATTAATATGTTTCTTTTTTGTTATGTTCGTTATTAACTGTGAATAAACTTGTGCTACGTTTATTATTTCTAATAATTAAGTTTGATTTATTTTTACTAATTATATATATATATATATATATATATATATATATATATATATATATATATATATATATATATATATATATATATATATATATATATATATGGTCGTGTAACTTTTTTTATTTCATGTATTGTTTTATCTAAAGTTTATGATTGAAACAATAGACATTATGAAAAAAAAGCAGAAGCTATCGCAATTGGACTATTATCGAAAATGTCAAGCTTGTGGAAGCATTGGTCACTATGGTGAACATGGGAAGATTTAAAGCCGATAATGGAATTAAATCAAGATATTTACAACATCTAGAAATTGCATTAAAGGAGAAAAAAAATCCTTGGATCTGGTATAGTGGGTAAACCCACATTGAGTCAAGGATCAAAACCATGAAAAAAGATTGACAAGTTGTTTATGATATGATAAATGGTACGAACACAAGTGATTTTGGTTACGATAGCTCCACTCATTCTATACCTGTTGAAGCATCAATTTGGGATGTTTACATACAGGTTCAATGTGTAAACTATTATTTATTGTATTACTTATTAACTACCTTGATACATAATAGGTTCATAAAGAAGTGGGCAAATGGAGAAATAAGATATTTCCTCATTACGAGGATTTGTGTATTATTTTTGGAAATGATAGAGTTCAAGGGAATAAAGCCAATGATTTCACCCAAATGGAAGAAGATGCAAATGCTGAAGAACAAACCAAACAAATAGAAGATGATTTTGAAGAACAAGTAACAGAAAGTGAAGAATTAGCAAGCGTATGTTCACAGAAGAAAAAAAGTAAAATTGATCATATTGTTCAGGGAATAACTATTGCAACAAATGTGCTTGGAGAAAAAACTTGAAAAAGTAGTGAACAACATGAATCAAGCAATACTATGAGAAACATAAGTACAAAAGAAAGCTTCCATGGTAATTTATGAAATTTCAAAAATCCAGTCACTGAGCGCTTTGGATAGGTTCAAAGCAAGTCGAAAAATAATGCGTGATCCTGGAACTGTGCTAATTTTTCGGAAACTGGAAGAACAAGATCGGGAGGATTTTGTGAAGTTTTATATTGGAAGAGTGATACGAGCATAAACTAGGTACCTAGACGTTGGTTTACATATTCATATGTGGTTAACGTTGGTTTACATATTCATATATGGTTAATTTTAATTTTAATTAAAAAAGTTTTTATGATTTGTTTGGTTTCATCGTATTACATGTTTTTTATCTAGTTTCTATATATTGTAAAAGAGTATAATGAATAAACTTTGTAATTAAATGTAATTTTGTTATGTTTATTTAAAAAAGTTACAAAAACCTCTAAAAATGTATTTTGGTCATATTACATAATTCATATTCCAATTTCTTTGACAATTCAACAAACCAAACAGAAAATAGATTCCATTCCATGTCAACTAAACACATATTAGTTTCTATTTCTTTTATATTCCAATTCCTCCAAATTTCAATTCCTTTGACAAATCCCATTCATTTCAAAAACATTTTGCGAACCTTACGAGGCCTAAGACTTATTCTCTTCTTATTCTTGGCTAGGAATCACCCAAAATACTCAAAGATTTCAAAAAAAAAAAAAAAAATAGAGCTAAGGTTTCAGTGAGGGGTGAAGGGAGGTGATGGAGGCTGAGTGTGTGAAAGCCCTAACCATCACATCCCTTAAATAGGGGTGCAAACCCCAAAAACCAGGGTTGTCATTAAACAGTTATCATGTCGTGACCACAATACTGCCACGTCGTGGCACCTATTAAAGATGTGCGCGTCCTCAGACCATGGTCGCACTGTGGGAGCTCATTCCCCACGTCGTGACCACAAAAAATTCCAAACTTTAAATATGAATTTCTTAAATGAACATACCAGAAACTTGGCATTACAAAGTACATATAATGTTTATGATATATTATGATAATTCACTGGGTGTATGACCTATGTACTATAAGAGTTTATAAAACATAAAAAATTTAATATCAATATGTAAACATTAAATATTTTATAAAGTAATTGAAAAAAGAAAGTAAATCAATGAGTTTGTAACATTTATGTGAATTTATTCTCAAATTAATAAAATGATAACTTTACATTAATAAAATGAGAACCCTCCATATATATAACCATAAATTCTTGAAATTTAATGTAAGAATGAAAACCCTTAAAAAATAACAAGTGAAAAATAAGAAAATGAAAAAAAAACTAAAAAAAAAAAGCCATGTGAGTTTTTCTTGGATCCATTAAGAGTTCTTTAAGATGTTGTGTTCAAAGAAAATTGTTGTTTTAGTGTACTGGTTTCTTAGGGCAAATTTGTAATTTACAACAAATGACCCAAAATCCTAGATTCCAATTCATGTGACCAATTCCAAATCCGTTCGAAACAATCCGTGAACAAAAGACGTTGAAAACAAATTTTGGATATGCCCTGGAGGCTCAAAGAACAAAAGAATCCCGAATGGTTTGCACTACTTTGCACGTCTTGGCTGATTGGAAATGCCCTTCCACGAAAAATCTACACCACTAGCAAATTATCCAAATCCCATATTCCAATTCAGCGAGCGAGTAGTGTCTTTTTCATTCATTGTCGTTAATACCAATACCGCCGTCGAATCCCCTGTATTGTATTGTATGTTTTATGAATCCCAGTCCTACCCGTCTTTTCTTTGCCTCAGTCTTCCATCTAATACTTTGGTTTGCATCGACTGTTTCACCTTTTGCTGTGGTATGTTGTATCTTGTGGGGGTGATTAAACGCAGTCGTGCAAGTTTATGTTACAGGTGCCGATTCAGTATTGCCAGTTTGGATTTTTGAAGAACATACATCGTCGTCCTCATTGAAATAATACGCAGACTTAGGTCAGATACTCGGATAGTTAGGAATCGATCGGACCATGTCAATACCAAAGGAGCCGGAGCAGGTGATGAAGCAAAGAGATGGATCTGTGCTTGGGAAAAAGACCATTCTTAAGAGCGACCATTTTCCTGGATGTCAGAACAAGCGACTGTCTCCTCAAATCGACGGCGCCCCAAATTTTCGCCAGGTGATCCTGTTCTTTCAATTTTATTGTTTCACCCTCTTTCTTATACTTCATAGATACACCCCTCTTTTCTTGTAGTGCTTAATTTCTCCAGAAAGCATGCGGGAACTTATGTATTCCTCCTTTTTTTACATCATTTTTTCCTCGATTTGACCATCGAAAGTCCGGTTCATTTGCTTCATGAAATCATCAGGCCGAATCATTGCGTGTACATGGTGTTGCAATCCCAACTATTGATGGGATTAGGAACGTTCTTACATATATTGGGGCTCAAATTGATGGGAAGCAAGCAAATGTTCTTTGGATCAACCTACGCGAGGAACCAGTACATTGTCTTATACCCTTTCTTTATTGCTTATAATTTCTTAGAATTGGCAAATGATTTTTTTTTTTTTCATGCTTCCACTTGTTATGGCAATAACTTTAGGATTCGATGTTCTGAATAACAGTGGTAAAACTCTTTCTTGGAACAGGTGGTTTATATCAATGGACGACCATTTGTTTTGCGCGAGGTTGAGAGACCCTTCTCCAATCTTGAATACACGGTGTGTGCTTATTTTTTCTGCTCAAATCACAACTTCCACTTCAGATTTACAATATATTGTTATACTTTTTTTTCTGTTGATAAACATGATGATTTATCCCATTTTATATCTAAACTTTGATGTTATTAATAGGGTATCAATAGGGCAAGGGTAGAGCAAATGGAAGACCGGTTGAAGGAAGACATATTACTAGAAGCTGCAAGGTTATTCTTTTTTACATGTTTCTGCGTATGATACGGATACCCATTTTTCTTATCATCTCAATACCTGTCTGGATAACAGGTATGGAAATAAGATCCTAGTAACTGATGAACTACCAGATGGTCAAATGGTGGATCAATGGGAGCCAGTCACACCCGACTCTGTCAAAACACCACTACAGGTTCATCATACTAATATCGTTTTCTATGAAATTTAATGTTCATTTGAAGATCTATTTCATAATTCCTTTCTCCATTGTAGGTCTATTTAGAACTACAAACAAGAAAATTCCTTGTTGACTACGAACGCATTCCAGTAACAGATGAAAAATCACCCAAGGAACAGGATTTTGATACGTTGGTGAGTGCTATTTTCATTTAACAAAATGAAAATATTTAACCTAGCTTATACTTTTATATATGATTTGTGTTTATAATCTTTATAGGTTGATAGAATTTCAAGAGCCGACCTCAAGACAGAAATAATCTTTAATTGCCAAATGGGACGCGGACGCACCACCACAGGGATGGTCATTGCCACATTGATCTATTTCAACCGAATAGGAGCTTCTGGTACTTTTTTTTTTCTGTCAACTTTATGTCATATGATTGCATGCTTTTACAATATCTTATTATTAGGTATCCCAAGAACAAATTCAATTGGAACAATTTCTGTCTGTGGCTCAAATGCTACTGACAACATGCTAAACACAGAAGAGGCACTTCTTAGAGGGGAATACACCGTCATAAGAAGCTTAATCCGTGTCTTAGAGGTATGCAAATGAACCTTTTTGCTTACAAATTTCCCATTGCAACATTCTTGACTTGAGTAACTTCTTTTTGATTGACATGGTTTTAGGGCGGTGTTGAAGGCAAACGACAGGTGGACAAAGTAATTGACAAGTGTGCCTCCATGCAGAATTTACGTGAGGCAATTGCAACATATAGAAATAGTATTTTGAGGCAACCTGATGAGATGAAGAGGGAGGCGTTGCTTTCGTTTTTTGTTGAGTACCTTGAAAGATATTACTACCTTATATGCTTTGCTGTATATCTCCATACAGAAAGAGCAGTTCATATTCCTAAATCCCCTCACAATCACAATCTTAATTTCTATGATTGGATGAAAGCAAGACCTGAGCTCTATACCATTATTCGCAGGTACATAACAGTAACACACTTCCATGTTTGATTATATATATAAAGTTTCATGTTCTAAAAAAGTTGTATCTTGCTATTGCAGGTTGTTGAGAAGGGACCCAATGGGTGCACTTGGTTATGCAAATATAAAACCATTAAACAAAATAAGCAAACCTAATAATGATGGTCACCCTTGTGAGATGGGAATAGTTGCAGTGTCAAGAACTGGCGAGGTCTTAGGAAGTCAAACTGTTTTAAAAAGTGATCATTGTCCAGGCTGTCAACAACCGAATTTGCCCGAGAGAGTAGAGGGCGCACCTAATTTTAGGGAAATTCCTGGGTTTCCAGTCTATGGTGTTGCAAATCCAACTGTGGAAGGAATTAAATCTGTTATGCAAAGAATAGGTAGCTCTAAAGGTGGCGGGGGCAGACCCGTCTTTTGGCACAACATGAGAGAAGAACCTGTTATTTACATTAATGGAAAGCCCTTTGTGCTTCGTGAGGTTGAAAGACCCTACAAAAACATGCTTGAGTACACGGTATACATAATAATAATTCTCTCACATTTTTAATGTTTATTATTTAAATATACTCAAGTCTCTAAGTGGTTTAATGTAGGGAATTGACTGTGAAAGAGTGGAGAGAATGGAAGCTCGATTGAAAGAAGATATTCTCAAAGAATCTGAACGTTATGGAGGTGATATTATGGTAATTCATGAAACTGAAGATGGAAAGATATTTGATGCATGGGAGCATGTAAGTTGTGATGTGGTTCAGACCCCACTGGAGGTATTCAGATCTTTAGAGGCAGATGGGTTTCCTGTAAAGTACGCTCGTGTACCCATTACGGATGGAAAAGCTCCAAAAAGTTCAGATTTCGACACACTGGCTCTCAATATCTCATCAGCATCAAAAGATACAGTCTTTGTATTCAACTGTCAAATGGGCAGAGGGAGGACAACTACCGGGACTGTAATCGCATGTCTGGTCAAACTCCGAATTGACCACGGACGACCCATCAGGATTCTACTCGATGACATGGCGTGTGGCGACTCGGACAACTGTACATCAAGTGGCGATGAAGGGAAACCGAGAGTGCATTCGAATCATTCTTTTGGTATAAATGACATCCTTCTGCTGTGGAAAATAACAAGGTTTTTTGATAAT